GAGTTTCCTACAGACAAAAGAAGAGGAGAAAGAGGAGGAGCTACAATAAGAGACTGTCCCTCTAGCCACTAACTGAAAACTGGATCCCTTCAACTTTAGCTATTGATCGTAATAATTTTGATGAAACTGTACTGCATATTAAATGGACTTTAGAGCCTTTGAAATAATATCAAAAATTAATACAAATTATTATAAATTTTTACTGACTTACCATCAAAATTTTTGTTATTTTTCTTAAAATTTTCCATGGCCCACCAGCCCAACATGCTCCCTATCTCATTGCCAGTAAACACTCGCCAGTTGCCCCTCCCTCCCTTATTAGTATTCCCCGGTTGTTTTTCCGCCAAGGCCAGTCTATCAGCATCAGGATCATTAGCAATAATAACTGAATGACCATGAGCCTCAGCAGTAGATATTGAGAGATCCTATTAATAATTAAAAACGTAATAAAAAGTGATTCTGGGGCCATTTTTTGGAAAAAACGATGGGAGATTTTTTCAAATTTTTGGCGCATTCTTAAAATGGCCGTAACTTTAAAAATTGAAGTCGGAATCAGCTCAAACTTTCTACACAGCATAAGTACATCAATAATATGTATCAGAAAATGTAATAAAATTATTTCAGTTATTATTATTATTATTATTATTATTATTATCCTTACTAGAGCACTCTTCCCTTCCTCCGGGTTAGGATATGCAACTGTTGGAAACTCTGGATCCGGTTTAACCTGTAAAACAAGTTACACTTAATAACTATTAATTAACTAATCAATAACCACACTAGCCCCTCCCCTATCCCCCACCTGTTCCTCCACTGGTATTATTTCTGGTAGTCCAAAAGCTTCAAAGGCCATTTTAACAAACGGGTACCCCACACCATGCATAGCAGTATAGACACAGGTCACTGGTGAGGCAGGGTTCTCTTGTTTCCGGTAGCAATACTTCTGTATCGCTGAGAAGTAGCCATCTTTAACATCAGGGTAAGGATCAGTGATCAGGGGGTTCCGGGCAATGTTTGAAATTTCCCATGAGGTGGGCCAGGGGGTCAAGTTATCATCAATGCATTGAGAAATTCCTTTATCATGAGGGGGGATAATCTACCAGGAATAATGGTTATTAAATTATTATTAATAGTAGTTATTAGTAGTTATTAGTAATTATTAATAGTTATTAATAACCTGAGCTCCATTGGTCCAGTATACTTTATATCCATTGTCTTGTTTAGGATTATGTGAAGCCGTTACCATGACACCAGCAACACAGCTGTACCGCCTCAAAGCAAAAGGCTATGGAAATAAACAAATAAATAAATTAATTAAATATTATTATTCTTACAGTAAAAGGTGTTGGTGTCTCCCTAGAGAACAGATATACTTTGATTCCTTCATTAATGAACACGTTAGCAACATAACGACTGAACCTAGCGATACATTGAGACAGTAAACAGTGACCAGTGACCAGTAACCAGTAACCAGTGACCAGTGACCAGTAGCCAGTAACCAGTAACCAGTGACCAGTAACCAGTGACCAGTGACCAGTAACCAGTGACCAGTAACCAGTAACTATTAACCAGTGACCAGGCCTGTACATATTCATGAAGCCATATGAGTGCCACATGAAATGGTTCAGACATCATGTCACACCACTGGTGATCACTTATTATAATGATATTCATGGATTGTAATTAAGCTAATGATATTCATAGCTCCTTTATATCCCATTTATTAAGTATCACTTTACCTGTGACTGTTGTATCTTGCATCGTAACCAATAACCACACCCCTTTCCTGACACGCTTCTTTTCCAAACTGGAGCTCTAAGTACTTGCAGAGTCCCTAGTCAAAATAATTAACATATTAATAATGCATTAGTTATTAGAATATTAATAGTTATCATTTTGAGCATAAAGTGATACACTTGTTTACAGCTCGAGTATGTTTTTAAAATATGAGCTAGTGGACAAATTCCAGTGAAATGAGATGATAATGTAATGTAATCAATAACATACTAGACATTTCCTTCTCTCTCTCTTTCCCTCCCTCTCTCTTTCTCTCTCTCTCTATTTTACAATGTAAATGTATTTCCATTAGTAGATCATAAAGGATCAATTCAATGGTAACATGTTCTTATCATGTGCAGCACATGTGACATCAATGAGGCAACCACATGAACACTGTATACAATATACAGTATATAATATAATAATAATGATGATGATGATAATGTTGATGATAAGAATTCTATCAACCAAGCAATAACAATGACAATAATAATGAGCTGGAATGGGTCCAAAATGTAATGCCAAATATTACCAAATGATGAAATTCAACCAAATAAAGTACATACAAGTTAAATATTATTGATAATCCGTTTACTTGTGTTGTTTGAATCACTGTGAGGTCGTTCATTCGACTGAAACCTGCTCCCATTTTAGAGCGAAGACCTAATTAATATGCGTGGGTTTTAGAAGAAGGGGAGGAGCAAAAGAGAAACTCATTAATGAATAATTATCAATTATTAATTAACAGTTATTATTGTATGTACCAGCTGTTCCAAAGGTCATCCTTGATGCTAGTCTGGCAGTGAGTTCTGTAACTTTTCTGGCTTCTATCAATGACTCTATCTCAGATGTTGTGTCCTGGTTCTAGAGAAATAAAATAAATGAATGTATTTTAGTAGTGGCTTGCCTTGTCTAGTGTCAGCCATTCTTGTGCTTTCTCTCTGAGCTCCTCTGGTAGTGCCTCCATCTTCTGTCCTTCTCTTCTCGTTTGAATTTCCGACGAAAAACTACTTTTCACATGGACGATGCATGTAGCCAGCCCCACCCACTAATGGGAGTAAACACCCACACCCACACAATACTGTGCCACGTGGTTTTAGTACATGTCCGGATACTTTCTCCGGATTATTTGGGTGGCCTAAAATCACGTGATCTGCACACACCTCCGGGACCTCCGTAATTTGACATAGTATCCTGAGGTGAACGGAGCTTTTAAATCGAAGAGAAAGGGCAAAAAAGAAAAGAAAGGAGAGGCTCTTTAGTCTGACGCCTTTTGCGTTCATTAATAGGCCGCTAGACTCCAGCAGCAGTAGCTGGAGTCATGTTCTAGATCCACTCAAACTCTGAGCCGGGTCAGTGACACTATCCTCTTCTATACAGACCCGCTTTGATCTTGAATATATTTCTGTGTATATGTAGCATCTGCCCGTTTAGACGTGTCTCTAATAATTGGTGTATTCTCTCTTACATTAGGCTACCTGGGGTGATTGATTTGTTATTTGTAATGTCAGGAGTATCCCCAGCTGAACTGTTAGCTGTACAGAGCACCAATAGGGAAAGGTACCTGTAGTATTGTGATACACGTCTTAACGATATTAATATTTAAAGGATTCTTTGTATCGTAAATTTGTAATTACATGTTTAAACCTAAATGTACATGTACAGTAGATATTCAATTTTTAATTCAAGGTAATTAACGTTGATTAATTAATACTATTGATGATATTATAAATTATTTATTTATTTATGAATGAGTGTTAACAGTCATTTGAATGAGCCATTGAAGAATATGCCAATCCATTTTAATCAGCACCACCTGTATGCTCTCTCTATCTCTCTCCTTCTCTCTTCTCCTCTTTTTCATATTTTTGCTCAATTCTTCAATTGTTAAGTGTTACAGTATCAAGGTGTCATTTTGGCGGTAGTTCATGTTAAAGTGTCAATAGCTGCAGCTGCTATCTATTTCATGTTTAGTCTCGGTTTGTTTCTGATAGTCATGCTCTCTTTTTCATGTGACATGTTCCTCTTTTCTTGTGTATTCTCTATCTCTCCTTCAGTTTGTTTATTATTATCATCTCCCCCTCTTCATCTATTGTCTTTTATCTCTCTCTCTCTACTCTACCTCCCTCCTCTCTCTCCTCTCTCTCTCTGATTGAATCCAGTTATTCTTTTATATCATAAAGCTTCTCCTTCCTTCCTTCCTTCTCTCTCACTCTCTCTCTAATTTCCAAATATTCTTTCAAGTATACATATCATTGCTATGTTCACACATTGGTCTGGCTGCCATTACTCTACACACACACCATTAGTCAATATTACAGGAGTACATTACATCTACTCTTTGATATAATTAGCTACACCAATACACACACACATACACCCATACAGGATTACAATGTACAAACAAACCAACCCATCTACATGTACATGTGCATGTATTATCTGTGTGTGCGTGACACCACCACTTTCATTTTTAGTGGCTATACATATTCACAGTTCAGTATCCTGTACTGTATGTACATGTACATGTAACTATGTATAGTATTGATCTCCCTCTCTCTCTCTCTTTCTCTCTCTCTCTCTTTCTCTCTCTCCCTCTCTCTCTCTCCCCCTCTCTATTTAAATTGTATCTTTTTTAATTCATTTGGCAGTTCAGTACTGGCACTGTCTCTGTGTTTGTAGTATCTTCTTAAGTTCACTGTAATACCTGTCATTACTTCAATAGAGCTTTATGAGGTCCTGCTGCACATGTACCTGTGTCAAGGTGTTATGACATGTATTTGCTAATTGGTGTGGATTTGAAGTGTGAAGATAGTCCACAGTTGGGTACCATGGCAACTGTGTACTAGCTGCTGTGGTTACTGGTTGTTATTGGTGTGGTCTGACTGGTTGTAAATACTGGTCTGACTGGTATCATAATATACTATATGGTTTCATCAGGTGATTTTATGATGACAATTTCCTTTTATTATTTTAAAATTATGCGTGTACATGTTTGACCTTTCATGAACAATAAAACTACATTTACTCCCTCCCTCTCTCTCTCCTCTAATATCTAGTTCAGTCATTGTAACATCTTATGTCACACACACACACACACACACACACACACACACACACACACACACACACACACACACACACACTACCTGTCAATGTCATTATACTGATCTACATATGTCACACACTATACTATCTCATAATACAAGTATACAGTACAGTATTATTCATTAATGTACATGTACATGTATTTACACATTGATCACTAGACCTGTATACCTAATGTCATAATGAATGATCTCATAACTGCAGTACAAGTATATAGTACTACTGTACAGATACTGTATATACTGTCAGTGTTCCTATAGTGTGTAATATCAGTTATAATACATGAACCCCTCCCCCTCCTCCTTTACATGTACTCTCTCTCCAATATAAACAATCATTCTACTATACCTCAGTATGTGAATGGTATCAGTTACCATTACTATATTATTATTATTATTATTATTATTTCAACTGTCTGAAGGTTATGTTTATACAAGGTAGTACAGCTAAGACACCTTTGTACTTTAAAGTACATCTAGGCTCTAACATGTACCATGTACGCACCTCTTGTTGCTAGGTTGATATTGGTTGCTATGGCGATTACCGGTTGCTAGGGTGGGTACTTGAAATGGGTATAGTCTGTGGCTGATGGAGGCGTGCCAGTTAAAATGATATCAGAATAATGATAATAATAATAATAATAATGTGTATTATTGTATAAAAGACAGCTGCAGGGTTTTAAAATCTCCCTCCAATTCCCTGTGTATATATACATGTACATGTATGTGTCACACTCTATAAATTCAGTTAATATTATATTATATTCCTGTGATTGTTATTGTTATCATCATTATGTATTGTTACGTTATGATCACCTGTTCTTCCTGCTAAACCAATGAATATCATTAGACAATAGTAACTGTTCTCAGCCACCAATTCTCATCATTACTCCCTCTACATAATAATACATTATACATTATTATTAATAGTACTTTAATATCTCTGGACTTACATGTACTGTATGTATAATATGTGACATGTACACGAACACCTAAAACACATGTACGTATCTAATCATACTCTCCCTCCCTCCCTCTCTCTCTCTCCCTCCCTCCCTCTCTCTCTCTCTCCCTCTCCTCATTCAGTCAGCCACCAGTAGCAGTACACACTATATTAAAGGGGTCACCATCATCCCCAGGCAGCAGCAGTATAGGCAGCAACTCCAGCACTACCTCCAGTAATATATCATCCAGTTCTTCAAACTCACTGCCTGCCAGCCACACCTCCCTCCCTCCCCCTCCTCTCTCCACCTACTCTCCCTCTACTACTGAAGTGGACGTGTCTCGTTTGGAGAGGGTCAGTTTTGGTTCCTGTTCCTCCGTTCCCATTCCCATACCAATGCAAACTGCACTCATGGCCCATACTGAGGTATGGTGGGTATGGTTTGTGGGTGTGGTTATTAATATTCCCCGCCCCTAGGCTAGCTCCTCCCCCTCGTTAGATATCAATGAGTTATTGACTAACGTCTCGTCCTCTGGTGCTCAGATACTCCACAACACCAACGGGAGGTCCTTCCTACTAGCACCAACGTAAGTATCAGTATACTCCAGTATATTTCAGTATATTGTTACAGTACTGTTGGTCCTGACGACTCCAATGGTGCTTACATTAACTGGTTGTACGATCTTTATGCACCTAATACTGGCGGTAGCCCTGGAATGAGGTCAGTACTCCTGTCATTATTATTGTTGTTGTTGTTGTTGTGTTGTTGTTATTATATTTATTATTATTATATTTATTATTATTATTGCAACAGCACTAGTAGATACTGTAGCTAAGCAAGCCCATCCACATCTGGTGGAAGAGTTAATGTGTATTGAATTGTTGCCATAGAGACACGGACCTCCTCTGGACTAGGTTCCATTATTATTATTATTATTATTATTATTGTTGTTGTTGTTGTTGTCATTGTTATTTTCTCTTGTAGTCATAAACATGAAAAGGTCCGTGCTACCCTCTCGTCCACCAGTGGTGGTTCCATGATTCAAGTTGGGACCCCGCCCACCCCCCAGTCCATATCAGTCTCTCCTGATATTGGAGTCATGATACCAACAAAGACAGAGGACTCACCCCCATCCTGTGGGGGGCCTGTCCTCTCCTCCTCTGCCCCTGCCTCCACTGATGGGGCTACACTCATGTCCAAGGTACAGTACTACTGTCTTTAGTGTGGTATACTGCATAGGGTTACTCTTAATTGTGTTAGTAGAAGGATCTTTAAAATGCTGAATTAATAATTAATAATGCATCATCGTTGTTGTTCTTGTTATTATTATTATTATTATTATTATTATTTCATTAGGAGATAGAGTTCCACAAGGAGCCGTTAGCAGTCTTCAGAGCTCAGGAGAGATACCTCATTATACTAGGAGCACCAACCTCCATAGCACAGAGACAAGGAGAAGACACACTGACTTACCTCAATAAAGGTACAGAGCCTCCAGTACTAACTGTATCAATTATTATTATTATTATTTGCTCCACCCCCAGGCCAGTTCTACAGTATATACTTCAGAGCTAATAACGAGATGGTTCTTCCTAGCCAGGCTAAGAGTGTCATTCATTTATCATTTCTTGATGAGTCAGACAGGACCGTGGAGCAGTCTCACTGGCAGTACTGGTACGAGCTACAAGCTAACCCTAACCAGAAAGCATTTGATATTGGTAAGTAACACCTTAAGATATTGATGTACTGTAAGTGTATCAAGTAGTGGTTATTGACAGGAAGTGACTGATTAGTATAATGATATTCATTAGTTGTTATATGGTGCGCCCCACAATAGCCTTTCATAGTAATTTGGGTATTTAAACTGGAGACAATGTGTGTCACTGTTGCATATAACTATTCACCATTTTTTGGAAGGGACGTGCTTCTCGTATTGTCCCTGCAATGAATATTAATAATTAATGCACTCATAGTCACTTGATATAACAGTAATGATTGAAGGATAATAGTAATAGATGTACACCAATAGTATACTAATAGTATACTACTGTACACAAATAGTATATTAATAGTATACTATTGTACATGTGTACATAATAATATTATTGTGTTTATAGATCGTAAGAATTGTGAAGGTCTGATTGAGAAACCACTTGATCTTGGATATAACGCAGCTTCTTTCATATGGGACCCAAGATTAGGAGCTAGGGTAAGATAAGGAGAGTAGGTGTGGCCATTATCTCTTTCCTGTAGGTTGTGTTACGTATTAACTGTCTGAGTACTGAGTTCTCTGGTCAAAAAGGAGTAAAAGGTCTTCCGTTACATGTGGTCGTTGATACTTATGAGTTTCAAGATAATGACAGAATGACAGAACATGATGAACCATCACACAGAGCTTACTGCAGGGTTAAGATATTCAGAGACAAGGTGAACACTAAATTACTATTATTAATATTGTTGACTATATTTCAATTATTTATTTATTATTATTGTAGGGTGCTGAGCGTAAGAATAAAGACGAGACCAAGAGTGTTGAGAGACGGCTCCAGAAGTTCATCCGATCCTATAACTCCGTTAATTTGGACTCTGAGATTGGACCAGCGACAGTGTTCCATCCTCCATGTAAGGAGACCACACTGACTCCCACTAGCACCTTTGGACCAAAGCCCTTCCTTTTTAAAGTGGTACGTGATCCTTTGTCACTTTTAATTTTATTTATTAATTTAGAGTGACATGAGGGGCGGGGCCAGTCACCCCCAGGAGGGCGCGGTCCTTTCCTCAAACTCGGCAAAATCCTCCTCAACATTTCTTGAGAACATAAAGTATAAATAGAATCATACTCAATGACATAATGATGACGTCATTTTTTATTTTAGGGAACGAGAAATGAAGAGGAGTTTCACACGAACTCTGACCCAGACTAAAGTAAGGATATTTGCGTTGCTATGGCATTGTCATGATGTTACTATGGTTACGTAGGAAGACCTTGACCAGTTGGAGGTTGGGCCGAGAAACAAATCGAAAAGAATCAACACTCAACCAAGTAATAGATGGCCCCTCCCACTCTCTGTTTATTTATTGATCTATTTATAGTGACGACCATATATGTACGTAAGGAAGAGGAGAAGGTTTACAATGCACTGTCACTCCGTGAACTGACAGTAGAGGAACTTAAACACCAAGTAATGTACTACTAGGAGGAGAATCCTAACTCATTTTATTACATTTTCTGATGCATATACATGTACTTATGTTGTGTAGAAAGTTTGAGCTGATTCCGATCAAGTTTAGATTTTTTATGATTTTTTAAAGTTGCTCCAAAATCGGACAAAAGTCCCTGTACTATAGTACAGGGATTTTGGCCAAATTTCACCAAAATTGACAAGTAGAAAATTCCTCAATTTTATTACATTTTCTGATGCATATACATGTGCTTATGTTGTGTAGAAAGTTTGAGCTGATTCTGATCAAGTTTGGATTTTTTATGATTTTTTAAAGTTGCTCCAAAATCGGACAAAAGTCCCTGTACTATAGTACAGGGATTTTGGTCAAATTTTGTCAAAATTGACAAGTAGAAAATTCTCCATTTTTATTACATTTTCTGATACATATACATGTACTTATTTATTTATTTATTTATTTATTTTATTTCAGATATCTAACAAATACGACATCCCTGATGAGATGATTCACTTCATCTACAAGAAGACAAAGAAAGGGTAAGGACCCTCTCTCGTATCCGTGGCAACACTGACTCCTCCCCTTTAGGCTGATAGTCCGATTTGACGATGAGCTAGTGACACGATTTGAAGACGAAGATGACTTTATCATTGATCTTGATTTCGACAATCAAAAAGGTCATTTTGATCTCTACATCAGATATTAACTTTATAACAGTGTGTCTTCAAACCACCATCTTTCAATTCATCATCTACTCCTGTAAATAAGTTGAGACTTCTGCCCTACCTCCCTCCCTCTCTCTCTCTCCCATGGTCTCTATTCTTCTTCTTCATGACTATGCACCTGTTGATTGATTCTTCCGTTTTTGTGAAGTCTTTTAAACACCACCGCATGTATTATTAATTGACAAGAGGCGAGACCACACCCCTCACTAATTAACCCTCCCTCTTCACATCTCCATTTTATGGAGATTTTTAATATTATTATCATTATTATTATTATTATTATTATTTTATTGTTGGTACATGTGATAAACAGAATTTATTTTTCGGTTTCAAACTCCTCCCCCTTCTCTCTCCCTTTCCCAATCTCTTGTTCATCTACTTACACTTCATTTGCACACTATAAGGAACATAATATTATATTAATTATAATTATTGTTGCTTTAAAATTATTACATATATATATGACCTAAAACCCCTCTCTCTTTTCTCTCTCTCTCTTTCTGTTTTATTTTGTTTCGTTTTTGAAGCACCTCCTCCCCCTCTCTCTCTCTGATTGTTTGTGACCATGTTGCTCAAAGTTATAATTATTTGTGAACTTGGTCTGTTTAAAATAATATTATATATAATGTATAAATAACTGTTTGGTGCATTTGAAATGACTACAGTCTACTCGATGTACAGAAATCATTACACAAAGACCGTCTTTAAACTTTTGCTGAAATAAAGGTATAATTACTGCTTGGTCTGTTGTTTGGGTGATTTTGAACATCAATGATGCTGAATCCAACCTCTTTTAATAACAATGAAAGATATTTCGGAGAAAGGAGAAGCAAGCAATACTCAGTCCCAGTTTGAGACTTGCTCATGTAGTATCGCTCATAGCAGTAGTCAATGGAAGAAGGAGTTGTTCCAACTACCAGTAGCAAGTGACCTCCTGGCTTAATGAGACAATGTAACCTTTTCAATTGTTCTTTATATTGAGGCACTGTCTCTGCAGCCCCATCTATGACAAGACTGCATATTACTGTATCATAAGGACTACTGTAGCTAGCTGGTAGAGGAGGATCTTGTGATATATCACAAGGTATTATAGCCTTGATCTTTGAACGTAAGAGCTCTTCTCTCTCTCTTACTTCTCTTTCACCTTTTCCTTCCAAAGTCTCCACGACGTATTTGAAATGAGTGGACCAGTCAAACTTGAGTTGAGGATCTTTTGTTAGCCATTGGTTCAACAATGACAGACTCTTACTTGAATAATCAGCAAGCACTATAGACCGGGCATACCTTGAGGTGCTAATCACATTTGATATAACAGGACCACAGCCTATATCAAGAACATCTAGAACCTCATCTTTATGTTGTAGAGTTTTAAAGAACTTGTGAATGTTTTGAAGAATAAAATGAGAAAAGAGATCATCAGGAGATGAAGGATCCTTATACCATTCTGTTAGATACTGGAGAGGACTGAAATCATCTCTGTACTTGTTCTCCATTTGTTAGCAGCAGCCCTTCAGTGACCTAATGACTAAATTATGTTATTACTGACCATGAAGCCATTACAATAGAAGCTTAGCCTGTCTTTGTCAGGCAACAAAGTGGATTAAACTAAGGATTGGATTGCTGCCAAGTATCCACTATGATAATAATAGTACAATCATTATTCAAAAAACAATACTAATACATTATTGAAAAAGTCTGATTTGTTCATATCCACTCCTTTGGTTCTTTAAGGACTCTCAGCAGTAGATCTTCAGGACTATTGGCTTGAGGTGAGTGCATGTACTCCCATTGAGCCACTAAAGGCAGTGACATTAAGATGCTCTCTATTCTTGCTGAGGGAGTAGATAAACCAAACTTTGTCCCTCGGTCATAAACCAGATTAAACTCAACGTATCTGCCCCGTCTCAGTCTCTGCCATCTTGCATTCTCTTCAGTGTAAGGTTTGTCTTTATTCTTGTAAACCAGCGGAAGGTATGAAGGTATCACTGCTTCAGCACATGCACGTACAAACTGAAAGGTTTTCTCTTTGTCGGGCGAGTCAAGATCGTCAAAAAATATCCCACCAACTCCACGCCTCTCTCCTCGGTGATCAACGTAAAAATAATCGTCACACCATTTCTTAAATTTAGGATAAAGCGTAGGGTCACTGGAATCACAGGCTGTCTTGAGTGTTGAGTGAAAATGACGAGCATCATCTTCGTCTAAATAGTAGGGAGTTAGGTCAGACCCACCTCCAAACCAGGAGAGGGTTTCTCCATTGCCAACGTCAACTTCAAAGTAGCGATAATTGAAATGTACCGTGGGGACAAAAGGGTTAACCGGATGAATGACACAGCTGACTCCAAGAGCATAAAATGGTAGTTCTTTATCTTGTGGTAGATCCTTCCCCCTCGACCTCATCTGTTTGACAGCTGGGGGCGGCAACTTCCCATGGACAACCGACACGTTGACTCCTCCTTTCTCAAAGGTATCCCCGCGCTGCAGGACACAGGAAACTCCGCCTCCTCCCTGGGACCGCTCCCAACGATCGACACGAAACTTTGCGTTTGGTTCCAGTTTCTGTAGCTCCTGGCAGAGACTGTGTTGCACGTCCATACACAGTTTCTCCATTCTTAGTCTCATCGGCTTGTTCTCAATATCTTTGAAAGCCCTGTAGCCTGATATTGGCTCGGCCATGTAGCTATCTTTATCTTTGCTGCTGCCGAAGGAAAACCAAGAGATCATTAACAGACTACTAGCACCAAGGGGAGGTCCCCACCACCAGTTATGGGTACTGTTCCCGTCCTGTTTATGGCCCTGTTCCTTTCTTTGCTTGATACAAGGGCGGGTAATAGTAGCATTATGAGCAAGAAGGGGTAGGCATCTCGCTTGTTGAGAGAGGGCTCCTCTTTTAGCTGCTAAAAACACTCTACAAGACATCAGGGTCGACATCAAGCAAGCACGTGGGTGGGGCTAACTAAGCCACACCTACCAACCACGCCTTAGATCTGCTCGCTCCAGCACGTTATGTCCATTCAAGTGCCAAGTAAGTTTGTTTGTTTATTAATTTTGTTTATTTTTTATTAGGATGTAGATATGAAGGAAAGGAGGAGAGTCTAAAACAGCTGCTTTGTAAAGAAAAAAGGTAATATACTTTCAATAATAATAACAAGAAGACCTCTCTAATGATATTCATAGCTAGTTTCTCATTTCATTGACAGACTGGTTATTAAATTTATTCATTACCACCAGCTGTGTGTATTCAATGAAAAACCACACTAGTAATTAATAATGGCAACATGGGGAACTATATGGATCAACCATAATGTAGAGTTAAGCAAATTTAAAAATTTGTAAAAAAAATCCAATTTTGATCGGAATCCGCTCAAACTTTCTACACAACATAAGTACATGTATATGCATCAGAAAATGTAATAAAATTGAGGAATTTTCTACTTGTCAATTTTGGTGAAATTTCACAAAAATCCCTGTACTATAGTACAGGGACTTTTGTCCAATTTTGGAGCAACTTTAAAAAATCATAAAAAATCCAAACTTGATCGGAATCAGCTCAAACTTTCTACACAACATAAGTACATGTATATGCATCAGAAAATGTAATAAAATTGAGGAATTTTCTACTTGTCAATTTTGGTGAAATTTCACAAAAATCCCTGTACTATAGTACAGGGACTTTTGTCCGATTTTGAATGAAATTTTAAAATTTATAAAAAACCCACTGAAAAGATGTCATGATAAGCTGTAACATCACATGTACATGTACATCAACTAGGACTCGTGTTTCTGTTCCTTATCCTCTCCATCCAAGAATACTCCCTCCAGTGGAGGAAGCCTTTGACTGTAAGTATCACACAGTTGATGGTTGTAGTGACTTTATTTTTTAAATATTTCCAGCTGCAGTGGAACAGATTAAACCACCTGCTCCAGCTATCCCTCCCATCAAACCAAATGATAACATTGACAATAAAGAGAGTCTTGCTTCTCAAGTACCAGTAACTAATAGTGTTCATAACGGAGAACCTTTTACTCCAATTAAAGGAGACTGGTCTTTTCAAGAAGTATCTCATCTTGACAGGTGCTATACTTCTTCCTCTCCCTTTTCAAGCAGCAGCAGTGAACAGGAACACTGTCTAATGGAGGAGACTGTACATGATGATCATGTTAATGGGTCAGTATCTAATGGAAGAGAAGAATCAGTAATGACTAGTCAGTTGTATCTCACTGCTCATTCTGATCAAGAAGGATCATATCTGACAGCAAATGATGAGACGATATCAGCACATCTTGATCTTAACACAGCGATCAATTCAGAATCAGCTTTTGTGCCAAATGATGATGATATTAATGACGAAGCAAATAACACTGATCTTAATGCTGATCTTAACACTGATTCAGTATTAAATATAGATCTTAACACTGATTCAAGTGTATTTCATTCATCTCAAGTTAACGAACCTTACCTACCTATTGACACTCCAGCTGTTCCAATGCCCCCAATGCTGTCCATTGAATCTATTGATTCAACCGCCTCCTCCTCCCTCAGCTGCACCTCATGTGATCCGTTTACTGAAGCACCTGTTGCTGATCCAACTGATTTACTTGATCATTTAGAATCAAGCATTGGTATGGGTTCATCTTGTACTGTACAATCTTTACCATCTCCTTCAGTAACGGACTCCACTTCATGTACTGGTAGTGGCAGGCGCTCGTCAAGAAAGAACCGGTTTAAAATAGCTGCCAATTTTAGTTTCCGTGGTAAAGAGAACAAGCCTCAAAACGTGACCACACCCACATTGTCAATGTCACTCCCCAGTACCTTTGAAGCTGGTTCATTATTAATGGCTCCTCCTTCCATCAGAGCCACTCCTCCTGTTAGAGCCACTCCTCCTCTCGGAGCCACTCCCATTTCTATTCAAGCCACTCCTCCTTCTATCAGAGCCATTCTCCCTGCTATCAGAAGAGCCACTCCCTCTTTGATACCTACTCCGAGTCCTTCTCCGTCATTAGTTACTTCATCTCGTCCTAAAGTACCTCACCAGTCACTGTCATGTTTAATGGATCCTCCTCCTCCTTCACTCAAGATACGATCACATTATCATACACTGACCCCGCCCACTGATACTTCACCTCACAAATCACTATCATCACAATCCCCAGCATCACTTCTCTCACCCTCACCCTCACTTATATCATCTCCCGTTCACAATATCTCACCAAACGCTAAGAAAACCCTCACTCCTGGAAAAACCTTATCTATTGATACTAAAGAGATGGACAAGAAGATACTAGAACAAGAAGAACTCCTAGAGAAGGAAAGAGCTCATTTACAAGTAATGACTAAACACTACAGCTGGTACTGTAGAGGGCCCGGGGGTACTAGTGTCCGTGTCCCATTGAGCATGTGGATACAGTAATGGCTGCAGGACTAATGACAGATACTAATGGAATTATTTTCTGATATTTCTCTTTCTCTCTTTTATTTTAGAAGCAGATCAGTTTATACCAGAAGACGCTGCAGGAGAAGACAGAGGATGAAGATGTTGATCTATCAAAGCAGCTGGATGATGACAAGTGATTGATATGTTTACATTAATCTTATTTATTTATTTATTTTAGATGTAGATTAGTGGATCGTGTTATCAATGCTAACATTAGTAAAATGGCTACTAGTTTCTGGTAAAGGGTTTGCAATAAATATAAATCATAATATTGTGTTACTTTTTGTCACAGGAATGATGAATACAGAGCTACCTTAGGAAACAAAGCTAAAAAAGTATTTTAAATAATTTACCTATTATTATTATTATTATTATTATTATTATTATTATTTATTAGTATGATTCAAGTCTTCTTTTAAATGAACTTAAGACTGAAGAGAGTTTGCTCAAACTTCAAGTTGAACTTTTCTCATAATAACAAAGAGATCAGAGACAATAACTAAAAGGTTTTATATTGACACCTTATAGCTTCGTATGTGTGTAGTATTTTTGTCAAATTATATTTCACTTAAACTTTGAAATAGCAGAAAGAGACACAAGTAATAATAATAATAATAATAATAATAATAATACATATTATGCAGCAAGGAAAATATAAGAATATAGCTATACATGAGATAATAGTTTAGTTATCATGAATTTTAAGAAGATTACATTATTATTGTTATTGTTATTATTGTTGTTGATATTATTCCTCGAACAGTGGTCTTGATTCTTTACAAGCGACGAAGCACCACCCAAATATAAAGTATAGCATTAGGGCATACGAGAAATAGAGACTGATTAGTAGCAGTACACTGGAAGAACAGTCACCGAAAACATCAAATTTATGATACTCGATAAAAATAAAAGCTGAACTCATTGAGAGGAACAGCAAGAAGGCCAATCCAAAGTAGCATGAGGCAAAGAAGATACGAGTTTGACAGTTTCTGTGTCTGGTGTCCCTGTAGTCGGCCATTTCGTCTTCTTTTACGCAAATGAAGCAGGTACATAAAGCAGTTAGGATGAGTATAATTCCAAGCATACACAAGACACTGATACTGGTGTATGTGATGTAATACCCACAGTCCACTGATGGCAGGAATCCTATAGTATACATGAAATACAATATGATTATATAAATGTATATTTAATCATGTGTACAGTATAACCAGCTATTGTGGATGGACACTGACAGGTAGTATCAGTCCCAATACAATAGTAATGTGTATTAATGAACCTCTGAAATAAGGACAGGTTCATAATCAGGAGCTAGGGTATTATTGGGTCCCAAGGTGTCCGGAATAGACAGGATTGTCTATATTACTATTGGGGATTTGCCTCTACTAATAATTCTAGTCACTACACAGTACATATCCACCATTATACAAGGATCTGCTGTATGTTCACTCACCAATGGCAATGCTTAGTATAATAGTCAATGGTAATAATACTAGCAGTAGACCTCCAAACCAGAATTCTGTTTAAAACTAAATATAAATTATTATTATTTAAAAACCCTCTCACTGTTGCAGACGCATGGAATGAAGAACGGTATGAGACAGAACCTGAAGGCTTTCTGAGCTCTTCCCTCTGGTGAGAGTGGCCTAACGTACGGTGCCCTTCTTCTTGGTGCAGGAGCTGTTTATAAAGGAGGGAGAGAGAGCAGCTGTGATGAAACTAAAATTTAAACTTTACCTCTTCTAGCAGGTTGAGGTCGAGGTGGAGCTCGAGGTGGAGGTTCTCTCTCCTACATAAAAATTATTTTTTAATTATTTTTACAGTTGAAGGTGTTAACAGCTGACAAACTCACCATCACTCTAGCAGAAACATCTCTAGTTTGCTCTGCGACGTAGAGTCCTCCCTCCCCGTCGTGTAGTCCTATTCTTGTGGTCTGTACTTGACGGATGAGACCAGTGTTTTCATCAACTACCTCGCGTATCTCTTCTTCTTGGACTATGGCCATTATGGCGCGTGGGTGGATGATTTGAATAGGTTCCGGTTATCTCCGATTAGAATGATTTGACCACACCCACCATCAACTCCGGTTATTACACTAGGATTCTCTAGTATTTTTACTATTAGTTTAGACTGACCACACCCATTTGCCTAATCACACTATCAGTCTATCACAACTAACACTGATAGTAAAGTCTTCTCTGGTTACTCTCTGCTGGTGAGGTAATGGAAGAAAAAGCTCCTCCACCTAGCTATTCTGATACAGTCACTGATAAAGGTGAGTAAGAACAGCTTACAATTCATATAATGCGACTAGGCCTATTATACATCGGCTAAACCTTGGGATTTGCTAAATTAAGAAATAATACTCTTTCACAGTGGCGTATCCAAAGGGGGGCTGAGGGTGCTTGAGCACCCCCTCGTGGGTGGGCTCAGAAAAAATTACTCCAATCCTGGACTCATGCATCAGTACCAAGCCTCATAAAAAAAGTTATCTAGCCCCTGATTATGGTTTCAGCAGTTTCCAGTGCTTTAAGGAGCAATCAGAAGTACCAGTAGCTTGAAATTGTCTTGACCCACCCGTAATTGACAAAAATAAAGGTAAACACTGTTTTACCGCCGTAAAATTGGGTGTAGCTAAAATTGCTACACGTACACGCTTCACGTGGCATCAACACCCCTCTTTCTAAATTCCTAAATACGCCCCTGCTTTCTTTGCCTAGCTCCTATTAGTTCATCTCTTGGAAGAACTGATGCTCCTCCAGCTTATGGTGACCTGTTTCCTGGTTTCCAGGATGTGAGAGATCAAGTTGATAAAGCTCGTCAGAGTGAAGGTCCAGCTCCTGCTCCTGTTGCTGTCCCTTTAACACTCTGCAACATCTTGTGTAAATCATGTAAGAACATTATTTAATACCATTTTATATCATTGCTTTAACTGTATCTGCTTCCTACATTAATCAACATTCTAAAACAACTCATTTGTATTTATAAAATAAAGATAGTAAGCTTGTCTAAACTGTGCATCATAGATACTCACAAAGAATGTTAATTTTGTACGATTGATTAATTTTTGATTTTTTACATCTTTTTCTGTAGTTTTTTGCGGCTGCTGCTATCTTTTGTTAGCTGCTCTTCCAGTTGCAATGATTGTCATTGGTAAGCAGTACATATGGCTCCCTATCCTTTCTTTATGATACAATCTGATAATACTCCAAAAATACTTGGCAGTCATCAATCTATAGTATTACTCACATTTTTCATTCTTCCTCCATGACAGGCTCGGTCTATCTCCATGATTGTACTCTTCAAGGTCGTATCCCAGTATTTCTTATCGTCTTTGGCTGTTTCAGTTTACTTCAGACCTGCTGTGGCGTCGGAAAGATGTTTTGCTGTCGTGGAAACGATGACGAAAACGACAATCAAAACAGGCGAAAGAAAGGTGGCAATTTCTGCGAGGGACTCATCACGACTTTCCTGTTCATTTGGGTGATTGTTGGTAGCGTTTACACATTCGGTGCTTGGAACACCTGGGTTGATAGTGGGAGGAATAACTGCCCAGGGACCGACTGTTGTAACCCTGTACTCATGTATTTTGCTTTCAGCACACTTCTCCTAATGTATGGGATCAGTGCTCTTTGCTTGTGTTGCTTCTTCTGCTGTGTTTGCTGTGCTATGGCTGGCAGTGCAGTCTCTTCTGGTGCTGGTTGACTCTCCAGGAGCTGTTTCATCCTCTAAACTTCAGAAACTGTCCGTGTTTTTTATCTCTCAATAGCCTTCTCTCTCTCTCTCTCTCTCAGCAGAAAGTGTCCAGTACTAGTGCTGTAGTAGTGTCACTGTATTAATTAATTTATTGATGTTAATGAAAAAATCATTAATAGTTTGACATTTTGTTTACATTTTTTATCTGCAGTAGATTCTGCAGCTGGTTTAGGTTCTACAATCATCTTCACGTTGTTGAGTCTCTTTATTAGAAAGTAAAGCCAGTCAGTGTCTTGATTAACTTCAGAGTAGATCTAGATATAAAAGTTTTTACCTTTAGCATCGCCTTACAAATTGTAGCAAGTTCAGGATCTAGTTAGGCTACAGTGATCCTTGGGATGGTAGATACTGGAGATGGGAAAAGAGTTACAGGAGCCTCCATGTACCTCCTGTTGCAGTGGTAAGGACAACCATTACAGTTATTCAAGATTGTAAAGAAATCATGCATGTTGCAAAGCAATACTGTGCGGTGGATATGACTGTGATGACATCCTGCATTCCTGCTTCTAGGCTGATGGTGGTGGTCATGACTACATCATTAGGCTTAGGCAATTAATTTCTTTCCTGTGAATGACGTTTCTGATTTATAATGATTTAAAGATATGAATAGTAGTAATATCACTGTCACTAACTCTATTATCATAATAAGTGGAAATACAATAGAATGCAATACTAATTGGTAAAATCATGTTTATTATTTAATCCAAGTTTTCAACTTTAAGAAGCACTGTCCTGCTATGCTGAAAACACATTCACATGAGTATAGCAGGGACAGTGAGATAACCCTGAAGCAAGCTGTGCTTCTAGGGGGCGTATATACCTTCCTTTATTTGAAGGTAGTTATTACTTAGAAGATGGTTATAGCTGTCAAGTGTCATTTATTATTTAAATTAGTGTGCATGCTCTATCTACTAATGATAAGATAGTTGTACAGCTATTAGTCAGGCGGCCCGCCTGACTATACAGCTATACTATCTGGCACCCAGGCCAAAAGGGCCTATATTCAGCTATCAATGAGAAGTATTCATACCAAGTAATAAATGTATAATTCTTTATTTTCATCATTTTTCAGATAATACTCCACCAATAGCTCATGATAGTTCTGATCCACCAGCCTACAGTACTTTGTTCCCTGGAATAAAGGATGTTAAGAATCAAGTAGGGAGGGCCCATCAACAGGTTAAGAATCAAGCAGGGAGGGCCCGTCAACAGGTTAAGAATCAAGTAGGGAGGGCTCGTCAACAGAATGAAGGAAGATCCGAAAATGTTGCTGTACCTTCGACTCTCTTTAACATCACCTGCAAATCTGCAGATTGTCTCTTAATGAACAGCAAAAGCAAAAGGGAATCAATGTGTACGTAATAAATGTAACAGAGTCCCTATACTATAGTACACAGTCTTGGATACAATTTTTCAATTTCTCCATTTCTATAATAATTTTTCCTGATACACATGTTCCTATGTTGCATATATGTAGTTTAAGTTTTGAGCTATTTAGTTTGTAAATCCGCTGCCTTAAAATTATCTTTTCTTTTTATAGTTTTCTTTTCCTGTATCTACCTTCTATTGACATTTAACATTTCAATGATTGTCGTTGGTAAGTACACACACACTATTCTTAATACATTATAACTTAATAATGTCTTCATATCTAAAGGTTCAGTTTATACTAATGATTGCTCACTCAATGATCTTCTTCCAATATTCCTTATTGTCTTTGGCTGCTTCAGTGTAGTAGAAATATGCTGTGCAATATCTATTGTCACCTGCTATCACGAGAATGAAGATGAAAGCATTGCTAAGAAACTCTACTGGAAGACCAGCTTCTGTTTCCAACGTCTTATTGTCATATTTCTCTTCAATTGGTTTATTGTTAATAATATCTTTGTGTTTAATTCCTGGGGTTACTGGGACAATAGTGACAGTTGTGGAGAATATAAATGCTGCAATCCTGTACTGATGTATTTCTCCCTTGTTACCATTATTATTATATATGGTATAGGTGCTGCTTGTTGTTGCTGCCTTTGCTGTTGGCCTCTGATGACTCGATGTCGTAAAATGTCGCAATGACATTAAGGACATGTGTGATATTTATCTGTATTAATCACTATAACATGCAATTTGATGATTATCTAGCTTTAGTGTGGTATCATTGATGTGATGTTATTTTGTCTTTGATCAATAAAAATCAAAAAAATAATTGACAATTATCATAAGTAGACCACTCCCTAATAAAGAGGTGAACCCCAATTCATACCCTGTCCCTGTCATCAAGGGCGAGTCTCTCTTGACTGATTGTTATACTTCTCAAGAGTTGCTTGCAAAGTTACACTTTAGCATGGCGGCCCTACAAAGACAGATGGTAATAGCGACAGAGGATGGAGTCGCTGTCATTGATAAACAGCTCATAGTGGACCCAGAGTCCGGGCTGATCCTTGAGGTGGAGAAGGCCAAGATGGCAGTGGACACAGGAGACGGGATTGTGGTCCGTGAGCAGCAGAGGATCAAAGGAGTCCGAGTCCCTCCAGCTGCAGTAAGGACAACCATTTATATATAGTTATTTACATAGCCTTTCTGCTTTAGTTGGAGTTCATGTTTTAAAGCAATAGTTATACTTGATATATTGTGGATATAATAGATCTAATGATAATAAGCTTAAAGTTATGGATTCTATTACACTAGGTTGGTGGTGGAGGTGGCCACGACTACAATCAAAGGGCTATTGGTCCAGGAAACAGAAACTCTACCTCAAGTAAGATCAGTAACATATTTATAGTAACAGTTAGTTTAGCATTGGTCCAAGATAATTATACTACTATATATACTACCTTGTTGCATGTGAAGTAACTTACGGATTACGTGTATTTTAGACAAATATTTTCAGTATTGTTATCGTAACAATCAGACAATTGCCAACTATTGTTCCATTTTATAATTATTGTTTATTTTTAATCTTTTTCATTCTGCAAAAGATCGTACGCCAATAGCACGTGATAGTTCTGATGTTCCACCAGCCTACAGCTCCTTGTTCCCTGGGATAAAGGATGTTAAGAATCAAGTAGGGAGGGCTCGTCAGCAGAATGAAGGAAGATCTGAAAATGTTGCTGTACCAATGACTCTCTGTGACATCATCTGCAAATCATGTAAGATTGTACCTCAGTCAACAACACAAGGATTTTTTTCTGATACATATACATGTTCTTATGTTGCGTAAAAAGTTTGAGCTTTGAACTATATAGTTCATAAACTTTTCTTTCTATAGTTCTCCCTTGCTGTGTCTACCTTCTCTTGTTTGCCTTTAACATTTCAATGATTGTCATTGGTAAGTCACACTCTATTCATAATATACATTATACCTTAATAATATCTCCATATCTATAGGATCAGTCTATGCTAATGATTGCTCTCTCAATCCTCTTATTCCAATATTCCTCATTGTCTTTGGCTCCTTCAGTGTAATACAAACATGCTGTGGAATGTCTAAGATGATCTGCTGTCGTGAGAGTGAAGATGAAAGTGATACTAATAGGCTCTGCAGGAAGACCAACTTCTGTTTCCAAGGCCTTATTGTCATATTCCTCTTTGCTTGGTTCATTGCTGGTAATGTCTTTGTCTTTGGTTCCTGGGGTGACTGGGATGATAGTGATAAGTATGGAGATTACTACTGCAATCCTGTACTGATGTATTTCTCCCTCATCACCATTATTGTAATGTATGGTATAAGTGCTCTTGTTTGCTGTTGCTGCCTTTGCTGCCTCTGCTGTTTAGTATTGATGGCTGGAGCTTCAGATGAATAATAACACTGATAATAGTTGATGTGATTATTAATCTATAGTAAGTACATGTAATTTGATGATTATGATCCTTCTATTGTGGGATCCTACTAGTAGTAGCAGTAGTGGAGTATTCACTTTTGTATGGCATCATTAATTGACTGATTTTGTATGATGTAAACTGTGCTCATGTGTTTTCCTCTTGTGTTTAAGACCTTTTTCAATTGATTAAGTTAGCAATATTTAAGTTTGAATATTTTGTGTAGCATATACGATTAAGTGTCCTTGGGATGTTATGATTACTTTTTCCTCAATATAATAAACAACTCAGTCTAACTCTCTTTCCTACAAGTATCATACAACTTGATCAGTTTGTACTCTCTCATTCATATCTTTATCATGAATATCATTAATGTGCATCGTTGACAGTGTCTCCTTGACAACACAACAAATAAGCTTATGCTGCTATCAAAAGGTCATCACTTTTCACATCAGACAATTCTTAAGCTGATTCACTCGCAATAACACTATATTGTAGCAATGGCTGCTGAAAGTGAACCGTGGTTTCATCCTAATCTCTCTGGATTTGAAGCAGAAGAGTTGCTAAAAGGAACAGTGAATGGAAGCTTCTTGTTTCGTCCAAGTCAATCCAGCCCCAGGGACTGCACTCTATCAATAAAGACTGAAGGAGGTGTCACTCATGTGAGGATCAAAAAGAATGAAACTGGATATCACTTGTTTCCGGATGAAGTCTTTCCTAATCTCAATAGCTTTGTGCATCATTACATGGAGGCACCTTTGAGACTGAAGGATGAGACTTTAGTCCACCTGCTATCTCCTGTACTTCACAACAATGAGGGACATCTTCCAAGGGAAGGTGAGGTGAAGGATCACCTCAATTTAGAACAGGATTTTGAGGAGCTACCATCTTACCTCTACAGTCAAGACAAAGGTAATAAGATTCAGAATATTCACAAGAACAGATACAATGCTAGCATTCCATTTGATGACAATGTAATCAGTTTAAAGGAGCCCAGTGTGTATGGTAGTACCTACATTAATGCTAGTCCCATTAAGACAGCATCCACTGGAGGCCTGCAGGCACAGTACATAGCAACACAAGGTCCACTGGATACTACTATTAGTGACTTCTGGAGGCTTGTCTGGCAAGAGCAGTCCACCATTATAATAATGCTGACAGAGCTGGTGGAGCTAGGAGAGTCCATGTGTACCCGATACTGGCCTACCGTTGAAATACCTGAGGTACTGCATGGTAAGATATTAATAAGCAGTTTAGAGGAGACAACACTTGACTACTACACAATGAGACATTTCCTTCTCTCCCATGAAGAGAAAGGTGAAGAGAGAAATGTGTTTCATTTTCACTTTAGAGATTGGCCAGTTGGCAGTGTACCAAGGAGCACTGGAGCATTTCTAGATTACTGGAAAGAAATAAACGCTAAAACAAAAGAAACAAGTTCTAGGCCAATGATTGTCCATTGCAATGATGGAATAGGAAGAACAGGAGCTTTTATAGCCATTGACAGTTTATTGAGACAAAAGGAAGTGAAAGGAAACAACGTATTGGGAGAAATGAAAGTATTAGTGGAATCGCTTAGAAAACAAAGGCCTGGTATGGTACAAACAGCACTTCAGTACAGGTATATTTATCAAGTACTGGAAAAATATGAGAAGAATGATAGGAATGGTAGGCCACCAATGAAGATTGTGGAGTCTTTGAGAAAAGTGGAAGATTCTGAAAGTGGTAAAAAAGTGTCACCACTTTTGAGGAATATCTATCGAAGAATGTCGACACCAGAAAAGTTAAAAAAATAATAATAATGGTAAATCAATCACGCCAACAAAAAGCTACTAATGCACGTTATGACAGCTAAGAAAGATAATCATGGTTTATTATTATTACATAATGTATGTAAACAGCTATACTGTGTAATACTAATACTAACTGACGTCTTTTTGCCAAAACAAACACATCCAGATTAGTAAACAACACTGTATCAATTTGTGTATGTATCAGCAGTTTCGTTGGTCATGCTATACTGGGAAATATGATCCCAGATCATGAATAATAAATAATAAACAAGATGGGTGGATGGAATTAGACTCTGTTTGACAGCCATTTACTGCTACAAGGCTTCTTATCATAGATCTACTCAAAGTTCTAAGTTTTTACTAGTCTTTGCTGTCTTTATGGCTGCCATACGGTGTTACCATCCTAATCTAGCGGGAGGATCAGAAGCAGAAGCTCTCTTACAAGATAAAGGGTTTGAGGGAAGCTTCTTGATTAGGCCAAGCATCAACAGCCCGGGGAACTACACACTCTCAGCTAAACGAGCAGACAAGACAGTCCACGTTAGGATACAGAACCAAGGAGAGTTCTATGATCTGTATGGTGGGGAGAAGTTTGCCACTCTCTCAGAACTGGTAGAATATTATATTGAGAATCCAGGCCAACTCAAGGAGAAGGATGGCTCTGTCATTCATTTAGTTCATCCACTCTTCTACGAGGGGGCAGAACTCACTGATAGATGGTATCATTCTGGCATCGATGGAAAGATGGCCGAAGACTTGCTTAATTCTCGTGGTGTCACTGGTAGTTTTTTAATTAGGAATTCCATGAGGACCCCAGGGAGCTATGTGCTATCAGTCCGTGCTATCGATGAGATAACTCACATCATGATCAACGTTAACACGAGCGGAAAGTTTTACGTGAATGAGAAATACTGTTTCGATACCTTGAAAGAACTCATAGCATATTATCTTGAAAGCCCACTGACTGATGCTCACCAAAGACCAGTAGAGCTAACGAAGCCGTTTGTGAGTACTTCGTTCCTTCCAAAATTCATACCACAGAGGGTCTCCGAACTTGAGAAACCGAGTGGGTTTTCATTTGGGAAGTCAGGATTTTTTGAAGAGTTTGAAGAGCTCCAAAAAATTGACAGCATGTTTAGGAAAAGTCGTAAAATAGGTGTTAAGCCGGAAAACAAACCGAAAAACCGTTTTAAAAATATCGTTCCATATGATGATACTTTGGTAACACTCTTGGACCCACCTGTGCCTGACGAGACCTACATCAATGCCAGTTATGTCAGTGGAGAAGTGCCTGGGTCTGAGAACTGCTACATAGCAGCACAAGGGTGTCTGCAATCCACTGTTGGGGACTTCTGGCACATGATATGGCAAGAGAACAGCAGGGTCATTGTCATGATTACAAAAGAGATGGAGCGAAACCGTGAGAAATGCTACCGATACTGGCCTTCAACTATTGATGATGAAATGATCTATGGAGAGGTCAATGTGAAGCTAGTAGCAGAGAAAGGTCAGTTCCAGTACATTCTGAGACAATTTAGAGTTTGCAAAGGAGATGAAACAGAGAGGAGCGTACACCAGTATCATTATAAAAGCTGGCCTGATCACGGCGTCCCTCAAGATCCCGGGCTGTTCCTTGGATTTATTGAAGATGTCAACCGAAAAATTAAAGATTTTGAAGAGCCTGGTCAAACATCTGGTCCGATAGTTGTTCATTGCAGCGCTGGGATAGGTCGAACTGGTACTTACATCATAACGGATATACTAGTGAAACTGATTGAGTATCAGGGATGGGATGCTGAGATTGATATTCAGCAAAGCATTAGGAGATTAAGAGAGTTTCGCTCTGGAATGGTACAGACTGACCAGCAATATAAAATGGTTTATCAAATCATAAGTTATTACATACAAATTAGAGAGAAACTTTTGAGTGCTGCATCTAGCGAAAATTTATACGACCAGGTTGACGCCCCTCCCTTGCAGCCACCTCAAAGAACTATGAGCACTAAAGTAGCACCACCTAAGCCACCTCGAATGCCAAAAAAACAAAACTAACATAATGTTTAGATAATACACTTATATTGATGATATTTAGCTGCCATGAATGTTTATTTTTTTAATTTTATAATACCCTATGCTAATTTTATGTACAATAGAAGTTTTGCTTTGAGCAATATTTACAATAATACTCAGGTGACTCCCAACTTAAAAACAGGCTGACCATTGTGATCTACATTGTGCACTTGTATGGGTGTTGGGTGGTATGAGGCTATGAATATTGACAAATATTGCCACACACTCAGCCATAAGGGTCGTCCTATTGTAATTGCTTTGTCTATCATAACTTATCGAAGAGGTGGAATTGTTCTTTCTCTTCCTCTCTCTCTTTCTCTCTTAAAACATGTCCGTCTCTGCCTTTCACCACGTCTCTCGCGTCGGAGCTGAAGAGCTGTTGCTGAGCAAAGGGACAGTGGGTAGTTTCCTGACACGTAGGAGTGAATCTGATCCAAAAAACTTTACTCTTTCTGTGAGACAGAGGGACGGGGTCACCCACGTTAGAATACAGCACGATGGCGAGTTTTATGACTTGTATGGTGGAGAAGAGTTTGCTTCTCTCCCGGAGCTTCTTCATTTTTACACAAACAACCCCGGAGCACTTAAAGAAAAGAACGGGAAAGTGATAGAAATAACAAAGCCATTGCCCAGAGAAGACATGTCCAGTGAGAGATGGTATCACGCCGACATGAGTGGGAAAGATGCCGAACTTCTCTTACTAGCAAAAGGTCAAGATGGAAGTTATATTGTACGTACTTCGATGCACTCTCCAGGGAATTTCGTACTCTCGACACGAGTTGGTGACGAGGTCTCACACGTTAAAATAAACCACAAGGATGGTTCTTTTCAAATTGATAACGGGCCGGCATTCCGATCTCTGAACTCGCTCATAGACTATTACAAGGAGAACGACATGGTTGAGGTATCTGGACGAGTTGTTAGTCTCAGACAAGCTTATTGCACCACTTCCTTTCTACCCAAGCACATCGAGCAGAGGGTGGAGGAGTTACGCCAACCAAACGATGAGCTTTTCGGTAAAACGGGATTTGAGGAGGAGTATCAGCAGTTGCAGCATGAGGGAACACAACACCTGTACACTCGTAAAGAAGCAGGGAAGCCATTGAACCGACAGAAGAACCGGTTTAAGAATATTCTACCCTTTGACCACACTCGTGTTGTATTGGCAGAACCAGATTCCAGTGGCAACACGTACATTAACGCTAACTATGTGAATGGGGAAGTACCTGGATCAGGCAATTACTACATTGCAACACAGGGATGTCTCCCGGGAACAATAAATGACTTCTGGTCTATGGTATGGCAGGAGGACAGTAAAATCATAGTGATGATCACCAATGAGATTGAGAGAGGAAAGAATAAATGTGCCCGATATTGGCCGTCAAAAGGAGAGACTACTCTGTACGGCAACATTCAAGTAATAAATATTGATGAAATCCAGGGAAGACTGTATGTATTTAGGAAGTTACACATAGAGCATGTTAGCAAGAAAGGGCGTGGTCACTATGTCGTACAGTACCAATTTAAAGTGTGGCCCGATCACGGGGTCCCTCAAGACCCCTCCCACATGCTGGACCTAATGGACGACGTTAATAGGAAGGCACTGGAGATACAGCAGAGGGGCGAGCACTTTGGACCAATGATCGTCCATTGTAGTGCCGGAGTTGGGCGTACTGGCACGTACATAGTCGTTGATATAATCACAAAGATGATGGAGTACAACAAATTTGAATATGAGATTGATGTTCAAGGTAGCGTCCAGATGCTGCGGCATCATCGCTCGGGGATGGTTCAGACTGAAGACCAGTATAGGTTCTTGTATTACGCTATCAAGGCTTATATCGAGAGAAGGCAGTCGTTGAACGAAGCTCTTTATGTAAACGTAACCACAAAATAACTTAAAGTATTGCGAAACCTCCTTCAAACATGAGTTAATTAATAGTTATTGTTGTGTTAATTATTATTATTATTATTATTATTATTATTATTATTATTGTTATTGTTATGTAGTTAATTAAATGTGTGAATGTTGTATTATTTTCTTATTTAATTTTTTGCAAATTAATTTCAAGTATAAATTTATGGGCAGCTGCAATTGTCAACTCTGAGCTTGTTAAGAGTCAACAGACACTGTTGATACAATGGGAGCCACACACACACTGCACGTGGTATATATGATGTATATACATGTTCCTATGTTGTGTTAAAAGTTTGAGTTAATTCCAATAAAGTTAGGACTTTTTATGAATTTTTAAAGTTGCTCCAAAATCGAACAAAAGTCCCTGTACTATAGTACAGGGATTTTGGTCAAATTTCACCAAAAATGAAAAGGAGAGAATTCTCCATTTTTATTACATTATCTGATGCATATACATGTACTTATGTTGTGTAGAAAGTTTGAACTGAATACAATCATGTTTGGACATCATTCAGGAATATTTAAGTTAACCACGTGGTTGACATAAACAAAGATGGTCATGTCCGGTTATCAGTAATCACGTGGTTCAAGTAAACGAAATGGTCATGTCCGGTTATGTACGGAGGAGTCATGCCCGGCTACAATAGAAATTAAAATTACAATTCTTCACTCTTCAGGGATCATGTCAGCAGTACAGGTAGCTCTGCTTCTTTCACTCGTCTCTCTCTTCTCCCTGCCAGTAAATGGAGACTACAAGATTGGAGTTGGTCGCTATGACATTACGGGCCCCGCAGCAGAAATTGAAATGGTAAAAGAACCAATCCTGAAACTAAAAATGCAGAAACTAACCTATTTCTTCTTTATAGATGGGAATGGCGAATCCTTCTCAGATTGCTAACGGGATTCATTTCCGCCAATACAGCAGAGCCTTTATTGTCGTGAATGCATCTAATGACACGAATAGAGTCGTGTTTGTTAGTATTGATGCCTGCATGGGGACGCAAATCATGAAAAATAAGGTATTGGAAATCAAGCAAACTAATGATACTATGATTATTTTTTATGAAATATTTACAATGTTGTAAAATGATGCCATATACTTGGTGATTTTAGAAGGGGAAATCAGCATTTTGGTAGTCATTTTAGTTTGTCAAATTAAAAACCAACTTAGCCGATTCATCAAAAATTTTCTTTCTCATTAACAGCTAGCTATATTGTATTTTATAATGATATTCATTGCATTATTTATTATTATTATTATTATTGTTGTTGTTTATTTCAAAGGTCGTTGAGAAGCTGCAGAGCAACAAGACGTTTGCTGGCCTGTACACTGATGATAATGTTTGTATATCAGGAACTCACACCCACTCCGGACCGGCTGGGTACTTCCAGTACCTGCTCTACGAAATCACGTCAAGGGGTTTCTCACAAGAAACTTTAGACGCAATCGTGGATGGTACACAAATAATTATAATTTATTTATCTTTTACTTATTTTAATAATCAGGTATTGTGGAGAGTATTGCAGAGGCTCATCAGAACATAGTCCCTGGGAAGCTCCTCTACAATACCGGGGTACTACTCAATGCCTCTAGGAACAGGAGCCCTACCGCTTATTTGCTGAATCCTGAAGCTGACAAAGCTCTGTAATAATAATAATAATAATATGATGATGATGATGATAAGTAATTATTTCATTTTCATTTTATAGATATCAGTACGACACTGATAAGGATATGGTTGTTATTAAATTTGTTGATAATAATGGAACGGATCTTGGAATGATAAAGTACATCTGTATGTTGTTAATAAAACATTAGTCTATCTTTATCTCTCTCCTCCAGCTGGTTTGCAGTACATGGTACTAGTATGAACAACACCAACACTTACATTAGTGGTGACAATAAAGGATATGCTTCATTACTGCACGAGAAAGATATGGACAAAGACTCACTCCCTGGACAGGTAACTTAACTATCAAAGTCACATGATTATCATGTGACATGATCTTCTTTATAGAGTAAGTTCATCGCTGCTTATGCTCAGAGTAATGAAGGTGACGTCACTCCTAATCTAATGCCACAACATTGTCCTGGTCACCCTGAGGTACCCTGTGACGCTAACTCTTCAAAATGTCTAGTAAAAGGAAAAGTAAGATCTGTTTTATACATTACCTGATTGAAAGTGTCTACCTGCCTTTGATCATAATCTCTCTCTCTCTCTCTCTCTCTCTCTCTCTCTCTCTCTCTCTCTCTCTCTCTCTCTCTCTCTCTCTCTCTGTAGGAGCTTTTCTGCATAGCCTTTGGCCCTGGGGTAGACATGTTTGACAGCACAAGAATCATTGGAGAAAGACAATTTGATAAAGGAAAGGTAGCAGCCATTTTATATATGCAATCCTTAATACAATGATTGATATATCTATTATATTAGGAGCTGTATGATGCAGCATTTAAGGAGCTGAGTGGTCCAGTACAGTATTTGAAAGTTAATAGAGATTTCTCTAATATTGAACTGGAATTTAATGGAAAGAAGGTTAGTTTTAGATTGAAACTAAAGCTAATCTTTATTATTCTCAAAGGTACATACATGTACTCCAGCAATGGGGGACAGTTTTGCAGCTGGGACCATTGATGGACCTGGAGCTTTCAGTTTTAAACAAAGTAGCCATAAAAGAGTTTCAGTTTTAGCTTTTATCTTCTCGTAATTTTCAGACGATACGACTGGAAACAAGTTTTGGGATTTAGTCGGTCACTTACTCCACGAGCCATCGAAAGAAGAGAAAGAATGCCAAGCACCCAAACCAATACTACTGGACACAGGTGATTGGAATGATTGGAATGCTAATAATTTAAACTATTTTGATATGAATGGTTGCTATTTATTGTCATTGCATGGTTCAGGTGATATCAATATACTGTATCCCTGGGCCCCAAGGATTGTTCCACTTCAAATGTTCCGTATCGGCCAGCTGGTAATATCAGCAGTACCAGCTGAGTTCACAACAATGTCTGGAAGATATCTAAAGAATGCTGTGAAGAAGGTGAGAGAGAGAGAGAGAGAGAGAGAGAGAGAGAGGAGGAAACTGTGTTTCATATTTCATATCGTTAGATATTCAATGCTACTGGTGACTCTGACATCATTCCAGTTATAGCCGGACTATCTAACACTTATTCAGACTACGTCACAACTTACTATGAGTACCAGGTACTGACTGATAAAACTTCCCATTAAATTTTACTGGACTATCCACTACAATTTTTCTACCTTACAGCAACAAAGATACGAAGCTGGTTCCACCATATTTGGACCTTATACTTTAAATGCATACGTACAAGAGTTTAGTAAACTTGCTGTTGCTTTAGCTACCGATGTAAACACACTTATACAATAACCATAATTTAACCCCACCCCCTCTCTCTCTTATAGAATGCAACTGGTGTTGATAAAGGCCCACCCACTCCTGATTATTATTCAAAACAAAAGTCTCTGATTCTGCCAGTACTGACCGACAAGCAACCAAAAGGAAAGAAGATTGGTGACGTTAAAGTTGACGTTAAAGAAAGTTACGCAATAGTAAGGAAGGATTCTAATGGAGGAGGTGTGAATTGAATAATTGTTTTTATTTTTAGAACGACACTGTTGAAGTTGTGTTTTGGGCTGGAAACCCACGCAATGACAGAAAGGTATAGTGTCCTATTAATAGTAACAGTTTAATGACGTCATCATTGTTACTATTAATAGACCAACAGTACATTCCTGACAGTTGAGATAGAGGACAATGACCAATGGACTGTAATGTACACTGACGCCTCCTTGGAAACAAGGTAATGAATATTAATTAATTAGAATATTAATGAATATTAATTAATTGAAATATTAATGAATATTAATCAATATTCCACAGATTCAAGTGGGAATATGATCACAGTGATACTCTGTGTATTATGGATGACATTTTTGATGGTGGTTGTACCAGTCATGCCATTATACAGTGGTTCATTCCACCTGATGCTGTTCCTGGTACTTATCGTATTCAACATTTCGGAGCTTACAAGAATGATGGAGTCCATCAGTATCAAGGGGCTTCTGGAACTTTTAAAGTCACCAAAATGTGATTTTGATAATAATTAGTTTATATGATGCCATGACTACCAATGATTATATACATGTATTAAGCTGCAGCTGAACATATTTGTCATTCTTTAATTATCGTCTTTGTTGCTTTAATTCAAATTATAATTCTATTGTTAAAAGACAAGTCCATCAAAAATTCAAAAAAAATAATTAAAAAAACTACATCACGTAATACAGGATCAAAAGTCAAAATCAATCAACTAATTGTCACAAGCAAAATGAATGAAATGACAAAATGAATCTACAAAAGTTGGTGGGTGTGGCAGTTAACTGATAAGGGTGTGGTTAATTAATTAGGTGAGAGCCACTCCCAAAACTGATCGAAAGTATCCCTGTCAGTGAAGGTCAGGTTTTCGTTGATTCCGGCTCCATTGGGCGCTATAAGAGAGTCATGTTCAACAACTTTCTTTGACCACTCCAGCTCCAGGTTCTGGTCATCGGTCAAAGGATAGACCATCACCTAAAGGAAAAATATAGAAATTAATTATAAAATATTAATTACAATAATCTTACATTCCAGCCTGAGGAGTCAGTGTGGTGGCACAATTCATCGTCAATCTCTTTGATGAGATGACGCTTCTGTCCAAAAGACTCAAAATGCTTCATAAGTTCTTCGGCTAGATTATCAGCCTTGCCTACAAATACCTGTAAATGATGTAATAGTTACAGTTAACACTTTAATACAACATAAATACATGTTTTATGCATGTACATGCACATGTATGATAAAACATTAATGGTGAATTCTTCCCTTGTACTACAGTGTATGGGCTTAGAGCAACTTTAAAAGTTCGTAAAAAATCCAAACTTGATCGGAATCAGCTCAAACTTTCTATACAACATAAGTACATGTATATGCATCAGAAAATGTAATAAAATTGAGGAATTTTCTACTTGTCAATTTTGGTGAAATTTGACAAAAATCCCTGTACTATAGTACAGGGACTTTTGTCCGATTTCGGAGCAACTTTAAAAAATCATAAAAAATCCAAACTTGATCAGAATCCGCTCAAACTTTCTACACAACATAAGTACATGTATATGCATCAGAAAATGTAATAAAATTGGAGAATTCTTTCCTTATCATTTTTGGTGAAATTTGACAAAAATCCCTGTGCCATAGTACAGGGACTTTGACTCAATTTTAGAGCAACTTTAAAGGGCATTACCTTTTCCTGTCTGTATGATAGCACATAAACTGCTCTTTTTGCGCTTATAAATGAGTCATAGCTAAGCCCAGCCTTTTTAGCAAGGACATTGAGCTGTGCCTCCTTCCCCAATGGTAG